ACATATTAAATTAATATTAATAATACTGTATAAATTATTCAGCAGCTTTTTATAATATAATGCTAGGTGATAAATGATAAAACATACAACAATAAAATTATCATCATCATTATTATTATAACGATATATGTATCTGCATTCAATTTTACAGAGAATTATAAAAGGGACCATTTCGTAGAAGAGCTTCCGGTCCCATGGACGCCACATTTGTCGATAACACACAGGGTATATAAAATAAGCACATCGTACGTCTAGGGACCAAATCCGATACAGTTTACACCCGTTCGACCGCGTATAGTTTCTCTGGATCTTAACGGTACGCTGTACCCTTTTGATATGAGAAATGAGTACGAAAGAGACAAGAGAGGATACAGAACAGAAGAGCAAGCAACCGTATACGTACCAAAAGGTATACGTAATGTAAGCATTATATGTATAGAGAGGAACAGTAACCAAGCCCGTGTAGCTCTCATCCCCATGAGCTTCACTTCCCGAAGGTTCCTCGCATTGTTCGTAAAGTTTTCCCGTAACTCGCTCCTTTGTACCGCGATTACCATATGAATTAAAATAATGTGAATTAGACGGGAGGAGGAGTGCGCTCGTGAAGTTGAGTGCAGACCGCTTGTTCGCTTGCTTGCCGCCTGCTACCGGGAATCGTCGATTGTTCAACTTGTCCACCAGCATAGCACTGAAATTACCGCACGTCCCGTCTATTTTATAGAATTTTTTTTTATTTCTTTTTTTTTTTTTTTATTTTTTCTTTTTACTTTAAATTAAATGTTTTTTATATTGGCCTGCTAATTACATAAAGAATAAAAGTTTTGCGTTGTGGTGGCTGAGTTTTAGGTGGTTATAGTTATGTCAGGTATATAACTCGTGGTCACGTTTATTTAGTGGTCCAGAGGTTAAAGAGGAGGAGGAGGAGGATGGTGATAAAGAGAGGGAGAGAGAGGGACGTGTTAACGCCGTTGTTATGCCCCATTATATCGTGTCCCATTCTCCGTGACTAGTGTACGTGGGTACGAAGGGGACGAGAACATGAATTCATTCTTTTCTTTATGGTACATGGACGTATGTACGTATATAGATATTCACACACGCTTTCTCAACACCTTTTACATTATTTGTAACGCCCGATTTGAAATTAGATATCGAATTACTATTATAAATGAGCTCGTGCATGCTGTATATAAATAGAACGATATCAATCGTTTCTTTTTTTTAATTAAAATTTTTTATTTTTCAGTTTTGTATTATGTTACATTATATATGCATCGAGGTTCGGGACGAGAGGATGTTTATCGGTGCACCATACGAATCACAGTGAAAATTGATAAAATATCATTTAATCCCCCTCTTCGGCTATGGCAGGCGCGTACGGAGATAGCATTACTAATTTATTTAAATGGACTTATCTTTACGAAAGCCCCCGCGATAGGAATGTAAATTGGAATGACTCTCACCGCATCACCCCCTCCCACTGTACCCCCCAAGGCGCCCCCTCTCACGGCGAATCAAGGGGTAATGGCACGAGCAAGATAAAGGTATTTTATTGCCTTTGCGGTTGGACATATTTGAGCAGGCTCAAAACTCACTCGCTGCTTTTTTCAGTATCATTTATCTCTCCCCAAGTCTGTGTGTGTGTGTGTGTGTGTGTGAGTAAGTATGTATGGGTGGATGTGGCTGATTTCATAAGAGATTTTATGTGACGCCTCACTCATAGGGTTACTCGTGATTTCTTTTTTTTATATTGTCACATGTCCTCTCTATTATGCAGATCTCTCGAGTTTTCTAGCAGCCGCGATTTTTGTTCATTAATCTCGACTTTGGTTTATACTACATTCCCGCTAGAAAAAGAAAAAATTAGACAAAACAATCGTCAGGAGATATATTTACGCGGAGAGGGCGAATAAGTGAGTGAGTGAGTGAGTGAGTGAGTGAGGATAGGCTCATATATATAACAGCAAAATATTATAACGAAATGAAATGTCAAGCCCATTGTCAGGCGTGTACCAAGCGAGGAAATATCGTCCAGTAAATCAAGGTGCTTGCGGTAGAGGTGTGCTCTTCCGTGTCCAGTAGTACAACACTACACCGAATAGACGCGACGAGTACTTCCGTTTTTAATCACTCCACGGCGAGTTCACACACCCACGCTCTAGTATTTACCCTCTTTTATACATCCCGTATACATATATCTATTATATTCTATAGCGTAGGATTTATCATTATATTGCCGAGCTAATAAATAAATGAACCAAAATTATTGTATGCCAGTGACTTTTGGTCCTAGCGTGACAAAAGTGACTAAGTACGTATGAGTAGTTATCTATAGATAGATATATACAGACGTATAACATGTTATATGCACTGTACGTAGATATGTAGGTTGTGGAAGTAGGTAGGTAAAGTTTGTACGCTGAGAGAATTCAAATAGAGTCTAATAAATATGGCATGAAGATCTATCAGTTACAATAGTGTTTTTGGCTTGTAAAAGTCAAATCGGTGAGTTTACGGCGTGCAGTATGAAAGTTAATGTTTTGGAACGGGCGCCATATTAGCATGTCCGCATCCAATCCTCTTGGGCACGTGGCCTGCAAGGCGAGCGTAGCGAATCCCGGGCCGGGCCCTGGTGACATCGTCATTATTTCGGCGAGAGAAGAAGCATGCGCGATTCCCAACAATTCGATACACTGTACGGTTCGCGTCGTCAACAGTCACGATGATGTGGGAAAAAGTGTCCTGATGTGTTCTTCAGGTCTTGCTCGCTTTATGTACTCTACTCCGTTGGTTTTCAATCCCTTTTTTCTTCCAGATCTGTACTACATTTTACATTGTAATGTGGTACAAAGCTAAATTCACTCGACAATACATCTAGCTGGTTCACGAGACTATGCTCATTGTTGCCTGTCATCTCTCTTCGTTTCCACTTATACTTGCCAGTTTGTCTGTTTAACAACAACGTATATCTATGTGCAGCTATTATATTCGTGGCATCATCGGGTTGCCAGGATGCAAGCATGCCGAGGGTGGCAGGAGTGGGTAGAGGGGTCGCTTCATCTTATTTATCTTTATGGAGCACGGCCAGAGGGTAAGTATACTTACTCAGAGGCCAAGCTGAAGCTTACTAACCGTACCGTACTCCATACTACTGTCCTATGCTTTCAAGTGGACCATATACTCTTACCCCGAATAATATAAGTATATAAAGAGGTGTATAACATAGATGTCCAACATTTGTTGCGGTCTCAACAAAGCTATATACACCACTCATATAAGATTAGATATCCGTTTAGTGGAATCCTGTTTAAACGGATTTTTTTTTTCGACACGGAGGATATTTCTACCCTCTTGTCCTCCACATTTTAAAAGTTAACAGCACTTGCGACAATTTATTGATGTAATAATTTTTCTTACCAGCCTTCAAGTTTCAATATTTAATCGAAAAATTTTATTTTTAAAAATCTTTTATGCCTTTTTTTTTATCTTTCTTTTCAGAGCCAATAGAACCATGAGCACAAGCCCGCAAAACGGCACGAAGAAGATGGAGAATGGTCAGAAATTAATATCTGCTTTGGACGTAATCGGATTGTCGGTGATTTAACGGTTCGTGAGAGAACTGTCGTCGGAGTATATAAGAGTTTTTATTTGTGATTTCTTCTCCTTTAAACGAGGTACAAAAAAAACTTTTTTTTTTTCTTTTTATTAACTTTTATTGTTATATTGCGCTTAAAATATATATATATATAATAAAAAAAAAAAAAAAAAACAAATACTCTAACTTAGTATCTAAAAAAAAAAACCAATTAATTATATTCAATTATTTATCGACATTTTTATTTATTTTAAATTAATTAACAATGAAGATTTCTACATACATATACAATGTGTTTAATTATTTACAATGTTTATAGTATTTACATTAAAAATTTATAATAATAATAATAATAATAGTAATAATAATAATACATAAATGGTTAATGTCATATTAATCGATTGAAAAATAAAATATTTATAAATATTCAACAAAAAAAATATAAATAAAAACAAAATAAATACAATTGATATATCTAACATATGAATATACGCTACATAATGTTATACCTAATTAATAGTTAGTAGATTGTGTCGATAATGTTGAGGCGATGACAGCGATTGGAAAAGCGACACACAGTAGGAGAGTGTGATAAATTACAAAGGTAATAGGAAGTCACGATTAACTACTCGCGTTGAGTATCGAGTGTTGATAGTAGCCGATAGAAATGAGAAAGATAATGGAGAACAATGAAAGGGAAAGAGAGAAAGGATAAACATGCGAGGGTGCAGCAAGCAGGGTCGCAGAGGTCGGTATACGTATTTAAAACGCGAGGAGACCGAGTAACGCAACGCGGGCCGACCGATTCAACGTTTCAAGTTAAATGGGGTGCGAATGGCAGATAACAAACCGGCACTGTTTCCGATTACGGCATTCATTGTTTCCTACCATTATGCGTGCTCGGCTGGTTTACGTGTGACGCGGTTACGCTTTACGATCAACGATTTATCGACGTTGTTTAGATTGTCCCGCGTGCGCGAGGATCGGATACTCAGTGCTTCAAATTCTATAAGAGAGAACCCGTTTTGATGGACAATACATTAATATTTATATCATTCATTATTAATTTAATTACTATTATTTCAATATAATTGATATCTCAACTAACATTTATATTATATTAATTATCATTTTAATTTTAATTTTAAATGCTTTCTTATCCTAATATTGACTAGCGGGAGAATTCGCGCTTTTGTATTATTATTAATAATACAGTCCGTAAAACTAAATAATAAGTATACACTATTAACTGCAAGTATACTGCATTGATGATCGTAGTATGTAATTATCCTTATTGATTAATTTATATGTGTATGTGTAATTTTTTAATTTATCAATTTTTTTTATTTCAAGGTCTTGTGACGGTCTATGGCTGAATAGAGAACGACGACGAGACCTTACGTCGTCACTTGGCGGCACCGTGGACCATAGACCCACCAGTACTTCTTTTGACAGCCGGTAGCGGATGAATTTGCGGTTGCTGCTGCTGTTCGACAATAGCATCGCTCTCCTTGTCTTGATGTGCCGTCATATGTCTAGTAAGATGATGTCGCTCGCGGAAGCTTTCATCGCACACTGGACATCTAAGTTTGTCTTCACGGCGTCGTCGTGCCGCCTCACCGACACTTTCATTCTTGTGATGTGATCTCATGTGATAAACGAGATCAGAAGTCATGCGGAACGACAAATTGCACTTGGCACATACATTTTGAGCTGGTAGACTAAGCGCAAATGACGGCGGCAAAAGCCCAGCAACACCTGTCACTCCAGAGACGCCAAGAAAATGCCGAGGTCGGACAAGAGCTTCAGGCATCGGCGCGGGAAACACGGAAATTGGTGAGTAAGACAGATTTGAGTACACTGCTGCAGCTGCTGGTGATAATTCATTAGAAGCTCGGTAAGCTACTGACGATGATGATGGTGATGTTGATGACGATGACTCGATTGTAGTGTTAATTTTTCCCCCGATTTTTAAATTTTCTACCAACCCGGTCGTGGGGATGCTTGTTTGGACAATAGATTCACTGGGGCTTGTCGAACTTACGAGGAAAGGAAACGGTGTAGTCACAGCGGCTGCTGCGGCAGCTGCAGCTGCAGCGGCAGCAAAAGTTCCGTACTTGAAGGCTTTGATCGGCGGTCCTCCGGGTGGACTAACGCTGCTCCGAAAACTTGGACGGTCTGGCGAGATCGAAGACCGTGGAGACGTTCCCGAGACATGTGAATCATCAAAATTGATGCAGCTGACCTTGGTAAAAGCACTTTTTGGCAACGGACCAAGGGAATCCTCGTGATGATGAGTCGACGGATGAAGAGGCCGATGTTCTTGGAGATGAAGAGAGTGTCCGAGTCTTCGAAAAGCAGCAGGTGGGCTCGCTGATGATGAACCTGGACTTGATCCGGGCCTATCACTTCCGGTAGGCTGAACCGGCTGCCGTAAATCAGCGATAGCTGCGCTGGCTGACACATATCCCGGACTTTGACGATTTTCAATGCTATGCCTGTGATCAATCACTAGTTGTGCATTTTGGCGGCGCGCTAATTTTTCATCTGGTGCGACCAGAAAGGCCACGTCAAATGAACGTTTGTTGGTATTTCCGTTTCGACGAATTGGATATGATGCGTCTGAGGGTATGACATCGGTTGATGTCGTTTTTAATTGAGTGGTACAAGGATGAGCGGTTGATGCTGCACCGTCTGCACGATCGATGCCTGGTCCCGAACGATCTTCCATTGTCATTGTGAGGCCAGCACGTCGTGGCGTGATAACGTTTTTACATGCGTAACCTGCGGCAAAAATTAAAAATTCTAATTAAAAAATTGAAATATTTATTAATTAATTAACACTGACTATTAACAAGAAAGTTGAGAAAGTTTTTTTTTTTTTTTTTTTTTTTTTTTTTTTTTTTCAACTTTAAAACTAGAAAATGATTAATGAATTTACCTTTTGATGGACAGGACACTACAGGTAGCAGATGTCAGCAGATAACGTGGAACAGTATCACCAGCTCCAGCAAAAGTGTAATGTATATGCTGTACGACGTTCGACCGCGGAGAGACCACGTTCGAATGCTGGAGCGCGCTCGCGCAGCTCAGTATTTAGCCCAGGGACTTTGGCCCTTTCTCTCTTGAATCGGATCGCGGTTTCGTAGAAGCGTCAGGTGGAGGCGGTCGAGGGTGGCTCAGACCAATAGTAGCTTCACCGAGCCCACTCGAGGGTGGAGCGTTATCGGGGGGTGAACATATTCAGCAGTCGAGATGCGTCTGCTAGCTCCAGGAGGCCACGCCTACATATTTCAGGTTCGACACATGTGCAACCACCAGCTCGCGGGATTCATTGCGCCTTCTATGCTGCGCAACGAAATACTCTATTCGTATACACTTTGCCTTCCGGCTGCCCGATGAAACACACAACTACTTGTTCTCATCTCATTCGATCTATTATCTCACTTTTGCTCATAAACTTCTCTATATACTGGTACAGCCTTCTTGTATATTCTCTCTCGAGCACCCGGTCTGCACCCACTCGCCAAATCCCATATTTCATACTGACGAACGATCGAGAATATTTTCATCGTTGCTCCCGGCCACCCAAGCGACCGACCAACCGAACCGAGCCATCAGCCAATTTTTTTATTTACTTTTTTTCCATACCGCGTATTAACCCGATCATCGTATTTGCTATTCCCAGTGTAATGTACTGTTGGCGTTTATGGTCATCATCACGCGCTCAGTGCAACTCCCGTCAAGTTTACTGGCCCTTTCCGCCAATCAATCATTCTGACTTGTGGCACACATCACAGTATCAGAGAAAGAGAGAAAGATCCGAACAAACTACAACAACACACTGTCCACTTTTATACTTTTCTCATCCTTATTCTTATCATCTTCTTTTTCGTCTGCTCTTCTTTGATTACATATACTCACTTCTTCTTCTTCTTCTTTCTCTTATTCTTTTTTTCTGATAGCCTCGAGGCTAAAGCGATCTCTGTGGGGAATAGAAAACACATCAATGTCTCCGAGTGATCGGTTACAAGTGGAAAAACTTTTAATGACTTAAACCCGTGTGAAATCTGATGAAATTTTATCCGAAGTAACATTAATTATCTATTCTCATCAAGTACATTTTATTTAACTGAGTATATAAGTGTAATATATAATAAAATCAAGCTCTTACACTTATATACTCAGTTAAAATAGTTAAATATAATTCAAGCTCTGACAATGAAACTTGAGTTATAAGAACATTAAAGTTAATGTATTATCTTAACCACGGAGTCGCGGTTAGGTGGAATTATATTATTATGCGTTGCGTGAACGCATAATAGCTGCCGTGTACCAGCTAATCGTCTATCATGAGTGAGTGGAGGCCGCGCGCAGTGGCACGTGCTCCCGATTACAACGTAATGTGAATGCTGTATACATGATTGTACTCCACTTACTGACGTAAAGACAAACACAAGGAAAATTTAAATACCGACTGGGAAATGTTAACTTTGGCGGTGGAGCTCACATTGAATATAAATACACGGATACATGTGCTTATATACATACGGAATATACGTGAATTTATAAATATATATATATATAAAAATATATCATACTATATTATATACCGTATATCTGTATCTTAGAGCGCCTTTGCGTGGATATGAGAATCTGAAAGTTATTAGAATGTCCCGGAAAAGATGGCGTAGAGTCGCTCCGTATTTTTATACTGTATGGCCGGTGCTTTGCATAATCCCGCACTTAGCTCGCTCGTCGCGAAATGCCGCCTGCTCTCACTATGCGGATCTTTCTCCTCCGGTAAGCAACACCCTTCCTCTCTTCGGGTGAGGCCACGTCGTTTCTGTCGTTTCTACCGACCGTGACCGCGCGTTAACTCTCCGGGCCAACTTTAACAAACCCAATAACTACATACATACAAATTTAGATATATAAGTATAAGTATAAAAATAATACAAGTACAAGTATATAAAAAATATGTAATAGGTGTAGAGTGAAGAGGATTTTGGTAGTCGCGACACTGGAAGTCGTATCACAGCCCGATTCGCGTCGTCATCAATCTTGTAACAAATCGATCGGGGCAATGCTCGTCTCTCCTGCGACATCCTCCGCAGATGTGACTTTGATTTTCTCTCCGAAGAATCCCTCGAGATATCGAGACGCTGCTCGATTAAGACGACCAAGACTTTAACTTCCTCCTCGAACTTCATCCTCGTTTTTGTCCCTCGACATTATTCCAACTTATATACAGCAAGCAACTACTATTTGTTATTTTCCTTCGATTTTTCTATTGCTATTTATAATACACTATTTATAAATAATAGACTAGTGCACCTGATGCGTCGCTTTGATCCCGAAAGCCGATTTCGTATGACAATAATTAACCTGCTATTATTAGTTCATTCACTGTTAACTTTTATTTTTTTTTTTTTATCCTTTCAGGTCAAAGCGACCCCCTTGGAATCATTTGTGGAGAGATAACCGGGGGTGAAAAACGCATGGTATATATATATACACGGCATGCGGCTACGTCGGACATATGGTCGTTGGTCCCCAGTGATCCAGCCAGAGTCCTCATGAGTTTTCAATGAGATTAACGGGCCATCTGTGCAATCTGGGTATAAGCGTATCGACGGCACTTTAACAAAGCAACCTGTTATTAAAGGTGTATACGCAATATGTACGTACATATATATATAAATTACACATAAATATAATTGTGTATAAAACAAATTTACTGACGGACTAACAGGTATTTACAGTGTCACGGCGATTAAAGGTGTGCTGATGATAATAAATGTTGCAGGTGACTAACTGGAGCTCAAATGAAAGCAGAGTAAATACACAGTGGATTGAATAAAAGGGGAGCAAAGTCGATCATCATTGATTGTATATGCGAACATATATCTACTCTCCGTTAGGGCTATCGGTGTGTATATTTGAGACCCATATGGAGCCTGCCGTCCGCGCATATGCCACGACAACACCGCTAACGAGCACACTATAACCGAGATCTAAGCCTCAAACTGTATCGTAAAGTCGATTAATATTTTCACCAGTGGTGAGTTTTTTAAAAATTTAATTTCGTTTTATTTTAACAATGATTTGATGCAGAGGAAATGCTGCGGACAGCTGGCGATTTTATTTAATCTACTGCTATTATGTATTTATATAACTGCAATATATCATCGATTCACTTGATATTATCAGGCTGTCCCTGAATTAATCTTGTTTGTTAAATCCAGCATTTAATCATTGCAACATTTTCCGTAAATCCTCGAAACAGATTTCGGTGTGATATTAATTTACATTTATTTTAATTAATCATTTTTACTGGTACACCAAGTACCACCATTAATTATTTAGCTAGTGTGCAGACACTGATTGCGACAGTATGATGTGATGAATTTATTTATGTGCGAAATAAATAGTAAGGAACAAAATTAAATGTTAATATAAGTAAAAGAGTAAGTGAACGTGGGTATAAAAAAAAAAATAATAAATGAGGGTGGGACACGGGTCGAGCTAGTGCGTAGCCTTTGTCGTGGCAATGTTCATTGTATATGACAAGGGTATGGTATAGGTACCCTTATATCCACTATACTACTACTGTGGTGCACTTCGCCCCAGCTTCTCGTGCATCTGTCCTCAATCAGCGAGCCACGAAAATGGGATTTACGCTTACAGACTGTCGAAAAATTATTGACCCTGCGTCAATACAATACTCATTATAATTTATTTTTTAAATTTATCTCGTAAATACTTGAACAAGCTTTTTATTAAATATTTGAATTATTAGAATTTGCATTAAATATATATATCTTCGATATAGTATTTTCAGTAAGAATGGATGAATTCATTGGATTTATCAGACGACAAGTGAAATTGGACAATAAAATTCCCGGAAGCCAGGAGCATACGGGGGACACAATAAGCAAAAGTAGTGGTAACGCGGTCGAAGCATCGAAAGAATAGAATGGGCGCACACTTAACTCGACGCTGATGCTTAAACAGTTGTTTGATCGGCATTATGTATTAGCATGTGGCTGGTGCCAGGGGTTATTACGATAGAATTGTTGACGAGGTGAATGAGTATAGTGCCGACGGCTCTTTAAAATAATTACAAAATAATACTCCATACTGGTTTATATGAACATATCATATGTATATCTTCTATTATACAAGATCGTTTTCAGATTTGATTACTATTGAATTTATTATAATCGTTTTTTTTTTTAATTTTACGATTTTTTTTAAGCTTTGATGATTTAAAAACTAAAAAATATTTGTGGACATTAACTCAGGCTATCCCATGCAGACAATTTTTCGAAAACTGCTTTTTCAATTATTTTTACTATTCTTAATAACAATTTTGAAAATAAAATTGCTTTTTATAGAAATATTGTTGAGTGAATACCGATAACAAAAATAAATTTTCTTTTTAATTTAGTTTAAAAATAAATTTTTGGATTAATTATAATTCAATCAATATTTATTAATACACATATAATTTTTTGCTAATAATTTATTATATGATAGTACTGTCAGTCGTAAAATTACTTTAAATTAAATGAAATTTGGTACCTTATAGTAGATTATATTCTAAGATAATAATCTTACTAAGTTTTTGACAAGCTGCAGAGAACCAATAAAAAAATATTGAGCTTTTAAAATTGAGTCTTATATGAGCTTTTACCATTGAATTTCACAAAAAACTACCGTTCATATTTAAATAAAAATTTAGATAATGAGGAAAAATAACATACTGAACATTTTTAATAATTGAAAGAACAGATTCAAAGTATGTAATAGTAATGATTATAACTAGAAATTAAAATTGGCCGCTCTAATCTCAACCAATAAGGAATTGGGGTCAATTTTTTCAATAATTCAATAACTTCTATACTAAATAACTTCAACTTGATCATGAATTTTATATTATAAGAATAAATAACGAATTATTCCTCTCTGTTTCTCCAACGCTAATTTGCATTGGTAAATCTACTACATAAATCACACGAGACTTTATATTTGACATTTGTAAGAAAATTTTTATGTTGAAAATGTATTCAAGAAATACGGGATTATTAGAGCAGACTGAAATTAACTTAAATAAATAAACAATATACTGAAAATTTGACAATTTTCGTATCGATGGTGTTACCTTAAATTTAAACTTCGATTAAAATGTGACTAAAACTTAGATTCAATTAACATTATTTATCATATCAGAAGACATTAAAAAATCAAAATTGGATGCATTGTTTATCTAAGAATTGTGAAAAGTCAAGATCTTAAAATTTAACTGGAAATTTTGTAATAAAAATAATTTTTGTATGATTAAGTCGACATTCAGCAAAGCAGACAAGGATACTGCTACTTACTACATATTATGTATGATATATGTATGTATGCAGTAGATATTACATATTAGATATACATCATCGTGAATGAAGCTATGAAAACTGTTAACTAAAAAGTTTTGATTTATGTATAGGCTGGAATTCGTCGCAGTGGATATGGGAATCGCTTTT